AAAGACAGTGACTATGTAGGCTCATTTTTTTTTTTTAATTTTCAATAACTCTTGATACAGTGACTTGCACAAAGCAAATACTCAACAGCTATCTTTACTTGAATTGAAACTTCTGTTTAACACACTAATTAAATAAAGGAAACCAACTTGAACATTTTCCTAGTAAGTGTCCACTATGAATCATGAAATTGTTAGAAGCAAAGTGCATGGAGAGACTCAGAGTAACCTGCCTTCAGACATACTGAAATGCTGATCCTTCCAAACTAGTTCACAGGTAGTTCATGATAGGACTTTCTAAAAATTTTGGTTAGTGTTCATACCTTCATATTGTCAAAACATCAAGTTACTGCCCCATATTGTGTTGATTTTTATTTCTAGCAGAACAACTAAATGATCAACAATATACTCATTTGGAATTTTTGGTAACAAAAGTTAGAAAGAAAATGCTTCAATTTTTAATTATGAAAATAACATAGTAACAGTAATAAAATTTAGAAAAAAGAGAAAATTTGAAATAGCTCATAGCTTTACAACAGAATACAAGAGCGATAATCATCTATATTGTTTCCATCCTTTTTTTAATATCCATGTTTTTACAATTATAATCGAGTATACCTACAATTTTATGTTGTTCTGCTTGTACTTAACATTATATTATGTTTGATTTAGATACTGCTAGCAAGTCTTACTAGTTCTGTTTAAATGTTCCCGTAGGGGAATATTTATCCATTCCCTTGTTGCGTCTAATGTGAGGCTATAATAAGTAATTCTGGAATGAACATCTTTATTCATGTAATTTTCATACTTTCTGGACTTTTTTGGTGGGAATAGGGTTTCAGAAATGAGATCACTGAGTTATGAGTTTGATCACATTGTACCTAATTGTTTATTTTCAAAGTCTGCAGAAATTTATAGTTGAAAAGATGAAAACTCTTTCTTTGTTGGCTAGAATTATTTCCTCTGTACAACCAATGAACAAGAATTTCTGTATATTTTGTGTACCTAGCCCTTCTTAAGTAGTGGGATAGGTACAAAAATGGATAAGTCAGGGTTGCTTCCTTTTTCAAGGTATTATTTAACTAGAAGAGCAGACTGAGACTGGCACCCATGAGAAATAATGAGGCTAAGGTCGAGATGTCAATTGTAATTTCTGAAATAGTTTAGAAAAGGTTGAGTTCGGTGGGGGTTGAAATTCTGGAAAAGTTTTATGGAGGAAATAAGTTTGAATAAAATAAGATGATGTCTTCAAGCAGATATTAAGTTCAAAGAACACTTCAAGTTAATTTGGTTTACCTGGCTTAATTTTCCTGGAGATAAAACAATGATTTTCAGTTTTCAAAATATTAATTATGACTAAATCGTGATGACAGCAAAGATTTATAATTGGCTCACTACTCTTTGAATTTTTGCTGGTTTTAATTCTAAAATTAACTTCTATGAAGAGCCCTGTGGAAATAGAGATCTTTTCAGAAACATTGCCTCTCTATCCTTTAGTATGAAAAGTATGAATTTTTATTGGCTTTGACTGAATTGCAGTTTATTTTTGCCTGAGACTAAACATAAGTTTCATAATAGTGCGTGCTGCGTCCCTTGCCAATGGTGATGTGTGTGTCATTCCACAGACTTAGTTTGAAGTGTGGACCTGGTTTCCTCTGACAAAATAGGGTGTTTTTGAGGCAGATTTGGAATGGTTTCTCACTCTTCTGGCAGACCTACCTGTTTGTCAGCCAAAGTACACTGACCGTTGCCCCTCCTGACGAGATTCTGGTGGTATATCCAGAATTTCTTCCATGCATTGAGATATGGCCTTTGCTCTAAAGGGCCTCAGAGATTGGTGGGGAGATCAGACAGGAGAACAGATAAGTTATGATTTGACACAGCAAACTCCTTAACAGTGCAAATCTCAGCATGCTCTCAATGCACAATAGTGGAAGGATGGACCCCTGTCTTGGGAGAGCCAGGTTCAGCTTTCCAGAGAGAGAGTGTTTGAGTTGGGCTTTGACAGACATAATGTGCCAGGTGAAGACCAGCTTGGGGGAGAGTGTGGCGGATGGTGTTCTTGTTGGAGGAAACAGGATGCCCAACCCTTAGTGTTGTGCAAGTGGCTGGGACCCCTGGGGCGTGGTGAAGAGTGCAGAAAGGTGGGCCCAGGGGGCCTGACAAGGAGGATTTGAGTGGGGTCACCTTCGGCCATCAGTGGTATTCATGGCTGTTCTCTGTAGTTAAGGTTTCCAGCTCATAGTTATTCAGCTCAAATTGACAAGCTGAGCAATATGACAAATACTTTTTATATAGGGATTAGCAAAGCTTAGAATATAGAAATGTGAGTAACCAAAGTGCTCACTGGGGACTTTCAAGAGCATCTTGCTTCACAGTCATTGTGTTTCTGTGAAGATTAGCTTGTGTCCGATCTTGCTGCCAGAAAACTTTCAGTAGATCTCAAGTGACCGAATGTCTTATCTTTTGAAAAAGAGAAATAACAAGGGATAAAATTATTGCCAAAAAAAGAAAAACCACCCAAAAGATTGAAATTGCTTATTATCTTGGGTGTTTTCATCAAATCTATCTTATTGAAGGCTTTTAAAGTTAAGATGTTTAAATATTTAGCCTAGAATTAGCTTTTCAGTCTTATTTGAAAAATGTGGTGATTTGTGTGTTAATGTATAAGTTATATCAATATTATACAGGCTAGATTGGCTAATCTGTTAGTAGAAACCCAGTAAAGATCATCCTTGATTGTTCTTACTTTAGATCTAGTGGAAATCTTTAGATTTCAGACATCTCCGAACCTTGGTCATGGCTATATTTTCCATTACGATCGAAAGCTTTCTTTGTCACCTGGTTCTCATTGATCAGCAGCATGGGAACTTGTAAATATGTGAATCCTTATTTTTTGGTAAACACTTTGAAGCAGAAAAGGCTCTTGTGCATTTTATTCTTTCAATTGAGCCCATGCTATTTGGGACTCAGTGGGAAAATAGAAGTAGAGATTTCTGGATGAAGAAACCGTACACACCCAAGTGAAGAAGAATTACCAATTTTATGCTAATCTTTAAATGAGTTTGATCTTTTATGTTATCATGAATAGTGGATTTGTTTAGAGGGGCTTATTCAAGTCACTGGAGACAGGGAGGGAGCTAGGACATGGCTTCAAGGGGCCGTATACCACCAGGCATGAGGCCGTGGGATTAGGGTGGTGGTTGCAGGGAGAAAAGTAAGACAAAGGTCTGAAAGGCACTTCAGAAAAATATCTGGCAGAATATGGTTCATGGGTTGGCTATGAGGGGCAAAGGAGAAAAAGGAATGGAAAACTATCCATTCTAAAAGACTTTACCATGCTCCAGTAAGTCGTTAGTGTGAATACAGATAGGCAGTTCTGTTTCTGTTTTCTCTTACATTTTTTTCCTCCTTCTTGAGTCCTACTCCTTAAGGCATTGAAAAAGAAGGGAGAGAAAAAATCCTAGCAAGAATAATTTCAGTGACTAAATGATGAGTCATTGGGTGTGGCAGCCCTTTCCCAATATGAGCTAAGTAATAAAGTGGAGAGCAAATTAAGTAAATAACATTCAGTTACAATTTGCTTTGTGCTTATTTTTCTCGAGGCCATCTCGAAGGACAAGCATATATTATATACATTCTTCTACAGAATATACTGTGATTTATCTTCCTCTCCAAAGAGTGGGGGATGAAAGAGAGAGAAATTAATCCATTCATCCATCATGGCACTCCAGTGAAACAATAGCAGAAATCCTCCCTTTCGAATGGCATTGGGTTTTTAAAGTTTTCTTATAAAATTATGAAATAGTATATATTCGTTGTAAAAAAGGTTCCAACGATATAGAAATACATGATGTAAAAGTCAAATAATCCCTTCACCTCTCAGTTCCACTTCGGACGTTTGCATACATATGTGCACACATAGACTTCTTTTTTATACCAATGGGAAACTTACTGTGTTCACTATGATGATTCTTTTAATGCTTCTTTTTTGTTAAATGGTTGCTGAGCTACATAGAATTGTGTATATTTCCATGGCCAGTCTGAGCTTACTCACAGCGAACTAATTAATAAGCACAGACCGAGAATCAGATTGCCTGTGGTTTCAGATTTTAGCTCCCTCCCCTACCAGCCTTGTGACCTGACATTCTTTCCTCATCCGTAAAATGGGGGAATAAGAGTATTTGTCTCATAGTGTTGTTGTGAGGGTCAAATTAGACGTCAAGCACAGTGTGAGGGTCTGGAACGTATCATATGCACAACACACGTTAGCTTTGGTACCTGGTGAGCAGATTTGGTTTTCGAGAATGAAGTCTAAGTACCAAGCGGCTCTCTCTCTCTCTCTCTCTCTCTCTCTCTCTCTCTCTCTCTCTCCCTCTCTCCCTCTCTCCACTGAAGTTCTTCGAAATAGAACTGGGGCTCATTTAAATATCTGACTCTAAATCTTCACCTTCAGGATTCTGCTTTTCAATTATATAGATATTTTATGAAGGCTGTCTGGCGATTTTCTGTTTTTTTTGGAGACTTAGAAAGCATTTGTCATTGATAAATGTTATTTTTCAGGGTTTTAGCTTGCTGTTCCCCAGGCTTTGGGACATGTGGTCAGAGAAAGTACAGATAAAAGACTATATGGTAGGCGGTGCCTGGTGATGGATGGTCATTAGTCTTTCGCTGGTGAACATGATGTAGTCTACACAGAAATTGAAATATAATGATGTACCCCTGAAATTTATATAATGTTATAAACCAATGTTACCGCAATTTAAAAAATGAGAAAAAAAATGAAATAAGACTTTATGGTAGGACTTATGAGCAGGGATTGAATTTGTTATTTTCTCATCAGGCGTGTCTTTACAATGACCTTACAAGCGCGCGCACACAGACACACCCCTTCAAGAATCTGCTTCCACACCGTTCCAGGTTTTTCAAGCACTTTGCTTTCAAAGGCTGTGGGAGCTGGAGATTCCTTTATGAGTCACCCCTTTGTGTCTGTTTCTCCGTAGGAATACACTGTGAATCCTACAAGGACCCCTGTGCTAACGTCAGCTGTCTGAATGGAGGCACTTGCGACAGCGAAGGCCTCAACGGCACCTGTGTCTGCGTGCCAGGGTTTACAGGCAAGTGATCTGGAAACTGAGTTTTCATATTTACCACAAAATCCCTGAGATTGCAACTGTTAAAAAAACCCCGGAAACCTCCATGCATACATTGTTGCAAAATATGAACACCATTGCAAAATATAAGCAGGCATTGCCCAGAAGAAGATCTATTTTAAAACAATTGACTGCCGTTAAGTGGGGCTCTTCTGAAATCATCATTTGCACATAGACTTGCTCAGACTGCCACTGCTGTACAGTTCAGAGCTGTAGCTTTGAAATATGAGAAATGAGCCATCACACTAACACAGGAAAAAGTTTCGATGTTAATGGAAGTAAGAAGGGGGAGAGGGAGGATCAATAGTGTCTTCTACAGAAATTGCATTCAGCTACCATGTTTATTTTTATTGAAAGATATAACAGCGACTGGATTTTGAAAAATGAAGAGAGGTGGTGGTGGTGGGAACTAAGGGAGAGATACTCCAGGTTCAGGGTTGATTATTAGTGAAGGTAGACATGACAGGTGTGGGGAGGGAGAGTGGAATGGGGAGAGAAAACTGCCCGAGGGCAGAGCAGGCAGGGAGGACAGGGCTGGGTTTGAGAGGAGCCTTGGTGGCCACTGAGCTCTGAGTGGGAAGAGCTGCTTCTAGACTAGGGGATCCAGCTTAACCTGGGCTCCTTCAAAGTCACCCCCATGGGCTTCAGGGAGTTTGTGAATCCCTGAAAACAGGTGTGAAATGTTGTATACAGGTATATATGCGGAAGGGAGGCTCTCAATTCTTCATCAGATTCTCAGAAGGAACTATGAACCCCTGGGGTAGAAAAGATACCATCCCTTGCTTTTCCACCAGAACCCAGGAGTCCTGAAATGTAGAGCGTAGGACAATGTTTTCAGAGCTTTGCACAACCAACAGAAGCATCGGGGTCACTTTGGTTTGCAAGTTGGGAAAGGTTGACATATCAGGTGCCCACCGAAGAAGGTGGGGGTGTAAGCTGCAGGAGAACATGTTATCATTGGCTGGAGAGCACCTTGTGTGTCCGCCTCTCCCCCGCTAAGCCACTGTGGCCACCTCCCAAACCCTGGAGAGTTTCACAGAGTGTGGGCCTCCAGCCCATCCCTGGGGAGCCTTGTTTGTGCTTCTAGGGAAGATGCCAACAGTCAAGATGTGGGAGAAGCAACTTCTGATCTTCTTTCTATTTATCTGTGTCACATCCTGTGTTTTCCTTTCTGGTTTTCCCGGGACTGAGAAGTGGGCTCACTCCAGAAAATGATTTGCAGATGGTTTTATTTTGCTGACTGGTTTATAAACACACACAGACATTTATACTCATCAACGGATGCAAAAATAATACTGGGGAAGCATCCTTTTTTTTTCAGACATTTTTATCCCTCTAATAATAAAAGGCATGGAAGAAAGATTAGAAAATACAGTGCTACAGGGGAAAAAAATGCACCACTTACAGCTGCACTACTAGGAGACAACCATTGTGAACATTTTGATGCACGTATCCAGGGATTTTCCTGAAGGTCTGTGTGTACATAATATCTGGTGTATGGTATAAATGCATATATTTGAACATAAAAGGAATCATACTGCTTATACTGTATTGTGACCTACTTTTCACTTAAAAATATATTATATCATAAAAGAGATTCCACATCAAGAAATATGGTTCTGGGGGCCGGCCTGGTGGTGTAGTGGTTAAGTTCGCATGCTCCACTTCGGCAGCCCGGGGTTTGCAGGTTCTGATCCTGGGTGCGGACCGGCGCACCGCTCATCGGGCCAAGCTGTGGCGGTGTCCCATATAAGGCAGAGGAAGATAGGCATGAATGTTAGCCCGGGGCCAATCTTCCTCACAAAAGAGAAAAAAAAAGAAATATGCTTCTGTTTTATCATTTTTATTGGCTGCTCTGTAGTCCATTATATGATATATCATGATTGTTTTTAACCCATCCTCAATTCAGTTTTTGGGGAGTTGAGAAATTTTCCTTACTGTAAATAACGTTGCAATGGATATTCTTGTATGTACATCTTTGTGTAGTTGTCTGATTATTTCTTTGAGCTAAATTCCCAGGAATAGAATCCCAGGGTCTAGGAGAATACTTACATATTCCCATATTGCTCTCCAGGAAAAAACATTGTACCAATATTCACTCTACTCAGAGTGCACAGGAGCATCTATTTCCTCATCTTCACACAGATACTGAGAGTTGTCATTCTGGTGGCCAAAAATGCCATTTAAGTGTTGTTTTAATTTGTAAGTCTTTGATTCCTAATGAGATTAAATACTTTTGAGATATATTTGTGGTCATTTGTGTTTCTTCTTGAACTCCCTATTCAGAATATCCTTTGTTTTTCTTCCAGACTATTCATGTTAATCTTTATTCTTGATTTGAAATAGCCCTTTATAATAAGTATATTTTATCTGCTATATGTTGCGAATATTTTTCCACTGTCATTTGCCTTTTAAGTGTATATAGTGTTTTGCTTTGTTTTCTATATATCATATTTTAATTTTATATAACTAAATCTTAATATTTTCTTTTGGTTTCTTTTCTTGTTTTGTGCTAGAAAGTCCTATATATCAAGATTTTATAAATATTCTCCTGTATTATTCTAATCATGTATGAATTAATTTTGTGGATGCAAATCTTTAATCCATTTGAAATTTATCTTGGTATCTTATGGGAAATAAAATGCAATCTTTTCTCCAGAATATTTAGCAAATCTCCAGCTGCCTACTCAGCATTCATTCTTGGATGTCTTTCAAAGACACCTCAAACTCATAGATTTTCTTCTCCTTTCCTTCGGTAAGTATTTGCTAGCTCATTAAATGGTATTACTACTGCCTCAAGTTGCTCTGGCCAGAAACTGGGGAATCATTTTGGTATTCTCCTCTCCTTCCCCCTTACTAAAAACCCCCCATCCTAAAAACCTCCTTGATCCTCCCACTTCTTCCCAAAGCCAGCACCAGGCTGCCCACACCTCCCCTCTGCACTAGTGCAACCTCCCCTAACTGGTCTCCCCACACCTATTCCCCTTCACCCATAATATATTCTCCACACCGTGGGGATCTTGTAAAATGAAAATCTAATCTTGTCACTCCCTACTTAAAATCGCCTATTGCCATTTCATTGTCTTTAAGAAAAAGATCAAAGCCCTTAACTGGATCATCAACAGCCCAGTGGTTTGGCCCCTCCAGCCTTTCCCATCTTGTCCTGGGCCCCCCTGTCTGCTTGATTCATGAATACCCCATGTCAGGCTCTTCTCATTAATGTTCTTCTTCTCTCTCTCCTGCCTCCTAGTCTTCTCTGCTCCCCCACCCCACCAACCCCACACTCTAACCTGCAGTCCACCCCAGGCATTTCTTCATGGTACCTGCTTCCCCCACCCCCCATCACAGGGAGCAATAGGACCCTTCCACTGCAGTGGCTTCAAACATCACTCTGAGTGATCTTTGAAAAACAACAAATGTCTATTTCAGTTCAGGCCTGGTAAGTTTTCAGAATGCAAAGGACCATAGAATAGTTCCTAAATTTGTTTGGAGAGTTGTGCTGTTAATGTGTTTTACAGAACACTGGTGCCGTAAGATGCTCCATGGAAAAAGCGTCTTTGGCCAAATAAATTTGGTACTTGGTACATGCCATGTGGAGATTCGTAAAGGATGTCCACATACTTCAGTACTGAGTGGTCTTCCAGTAAAGAATCTTATTTGCCTTTGTCTATTTTCTAAATATATTTGATCATAGAGCCTTTTTTCCCCCCTTAAAAAAGAACCTATTGTATTCTGGGAACTAGCATTCCATGGGAGAGGCTGATAAAATATCAATGACCACCAAGCAAGGAATAATGGTGCTTCTACTCTTTGAGTTGCTACGTCGGAACCAAATATTCTTTCATTATAGCTGAGCTTTAGCAAAACCTACACTTGGCCAACTATTAAGTGCTCAAAAGCTCCTTAATTGACTCAGTGGAATGAATTAGGCAAATTATTGTTACATAATTAGATTCTGAATCCAATGTCACATTTACCTTGGGAGACTGGCTTTTGCGGTTTGGGTTTATTTTGCTCGTCTCTTTCTAGGTTCACTAGGTGGGACCTTAAATTATTGATCTGAGACTTTTCCTCATTTCTAATGTATGCATTTAGTGCTATAAATTCCCCCCTAAGCACTTCTTTGGCTGTGTCCCACAAATGTTATGTTGTATTTTCATTTTCATTCAATTCAATGTGGGTAGGTTCCTTTAGATTTTCTCTTTGATCCATGGATTATTTATAAGTGTGTTATATTGCTGGGCCTTCTTTTTTCAGCACCTTTTGGCATTTCTGGGTTGCTGGCTTCTCCAGCACCTAGTTTGGAATATATGAGGCCAAAAGAAAACTCACGGAGCTCGGCATCAAGTTGTTCCTTGGGTCTGAAGATCCAAGCCAGCTGGTCTCCTCTTGATGTCTCAGAATCTTCTCATGTTTGATTTGTATATAATGTCCAAGATTTTTACTTGGACATTAGTTAGTGGGACTTTAGTTAGTGGGAGGACTAGGAAAAACATATCTGCTCCATCTTTTTGGAAGCAGAATTCTCACTCTGGCTGTTTTTAGATTTTTTCCTTTGTTATTGGCTTTTAGCAAAATTGATTATGACATGCCTTAGTGTGATTTTGTTGGTGTTTATCCTACTTGGGATTTGTTGCACTTCTTAGATCTATGGTTTTATGGTTTTCATCAAATTTGGAAAATTTTGAGCCATTATTCTACCAAGTATTATTTTATGCTTCACCCCCCTTTCCAGGGACTCTAATTACATCTACATTAGACTACTTAAAATTGTACAACAGGTCACTGAGTCTCTGTTCGGTTTAAAAACAATTCTTTTTCTTGAGCTTCCCTTTGTCTAGCTTCTATTGCTTCATTTTCAAGTTTACTAATGTTTTGTTCGGCAGCATCTAATCTACTGTTAAGATCACTTAGAGTTGTTTTGTTTTTAATTTCAGATGTTATATTTTTGATATCTAGAAGTTCCTTGCAGTTCTTTTTTATATCTTCCATTTCTATCCTCATTTTTTTCATGTTTTCCTTCACATTTTGAACAAACACCTTGTTTACTACCATTATCCATTATTCCTGGATCTGGGTCTTTGACTGATTTTTCTTCTGGTCACATGTTCTTGCTTCTTTGCACGTCTAAAAATTTTCATTTGGATGCTGGTCATTGTGAGTTAAGCTGTTGAGTGATTGGATTTATTGTCTTTCTTTTAAAAGTGGTAACCTTTTTTGTGTACTTGCCGACCTGATTGATCCTTTCAAGGTTTGTCTGTCTATTTTGGGGGGGTGAGTGTATGGTAGCCTTACTCTAGGGCTAGTTTTGCCTAATACTAAGGTGTGACCTTTTCCTCACTGGATGCACTGGGTGATCGGTAAAATATGTGTATTCTTACTTGTGCAAGTTTGAATACTTCTCAGTCCTTTGTGAGCTTTGGGGACGGTTCATCTTCCATCTTGGTAGCCAGGCCTGGGGAGTTCCAACTTACTCATGCACAGTGTTCAGCAACAAACTCAAGAGATGCAGCATATTTCTGATGCTCTTTTTCTGAGTGGCTCTATCTTCTGTGGTAGTTTGTCCTACAAATTACAGCTACCTTGGCCTCCACAAACTCCAATTCTCTTCAGTTCAGTGAAACCATTGTGTTCTAAACTGGCTCCAGGCAGAAAGCCAGGATAATCATGGTACTCAGCTGTTTTGTTTCCTTTCTCAGCAATCAGAGTCATGCACTGCCTGTTGTCCAATGTCTGAAAAATTTTTTTAAAAATATATGTTTCATCCACTTGTCTAATTATTTACAGTGAGAGGGCAGGATAGGTTCCAGTTACTCTATCATAGTAGAAGAAGTTCCAAATAGTTTTTTAGATTTATTTCATCTGGAATAAAATACTTGTGAAATATGAAGGAGTTATAGTTAAATCACCCAGTCTAGTGCCTGGAACATGGCATATATTCAATACTAGGTATTATGATTATAATGATTATCACTAATATCATTCAGTGTCGGCTCTATTAACCCAAGGATTTACTAACAGCAGTGACTTTTGATTTTTTTTATCTTTTTTCATTTTAATTTATCTGAGGAAAGCATACAGAATTAAACAGTACACTTGTAAATTTGCATAAATATTACAAAATTTGGTAACTACGATACAGATTGCCTCTTAGAAAGCAGTAGATTGAAAAGCAATTGTAAAAGATTTAAAGTTCAGACTGATTTCTAGCCTTAGTCAAGTAGAAATTTCATTTTGTATTCTCTTTACAAATGTTATTCAAGCACAACAATGATTTAAAAGTAATTGATTTTTCTCCAACTCAAATAAAAAAAAAGTAAGCAAGTCAATGAAAAAGTCATCTGGCTCAAGCCGGTAAAAGCATAAAGATTTATTAAGTCAACTATGAGTAAAGAAAGATGATGTAATATACTAAGAACTCTTCTACTAAAATAAGCTAGACTACGTATTGCTTGGAGGTGGAATGGTGGGGTGTTGAAATACATATAAAAACATAATACTCTTAATAAGGGGAAACATAAATGAAACCAAGCTTGCCCTCCGTAACTCATAATAAATCTTCAAATACCTTGCATAAGACTGATGGCAGGAAGCATGACTGTTGTAAGGCAGAGAAGAGCAGTCATCCTTGGAAATCTACTGGTTGAAATTTTCCTTGTGTGGCTCCATGAGAATCACCCCATATTCCTACCACCAGCATGCAACACAGTGAAGACCTCAAACTGCGAGCCAGTTAGGGGAATAACTGATTCAACTAGCAGTGTAGTAATCTTAGTCTGTAAAATAGGCCACTAGAGTCAATCTAAAGGTATCTGAGAACTGTGCATCCCTGCAGGATTCTGCCAAAACACATGTACTGTGGAAATAGCCACTAGCTCTTTGGGCCCCTGACCGGCATGGGGTTTATATCCTTAACTAATGTCATATAATCTCCAGGATAGCTCTAAGAACACTGGTGATGAAAGCCAGAGTGGGATAGTTTGGGGACTCTCTCTGGGCCCCAGTCCTTTGGATCCTGGGTCTTAGATATCTGATAAATATCTACAGAGTAGTTCACCCTATTTTCTTCTGTCATTATCTATTCTTACCAAATCCTTCCAATCCAGTTGGTCCCAAGAACAGACAAACCTAGGGATCTTGGACTTCTCCTGGCTATATTAGAGCCCCTTAGAGATCCAAGAACCAATATATGCATCAGGAATGTTCTGGACCCTGATTTTGGCTTTTATCTCCCTGGGGAAGCTCTGGACCACAGCAGGGCTGGATGGACTGGACCAGTGGCTCTGGGACTGCCAAGAATTTAGAGAATTAGAAAAGTTTGACGTTGACATTGGACTTCTGGAGCTGAGTGGGGCTTTTGAGTGTTGTCAAACCATAGAAGTAAGGAGAAGTCTATAGCTATTGCTGCAAAGGCAACTTAGGGCATCTTACTTCAGAATTTGCAGTGTTCAGATTGCCAGCTAAAGAAAGCTATTGTTTAGTCAATATCTCCATTAAGCTTGTCTTCCTAAATGGTTGGAAAGTAGTACTGATGTATATATTTGTCAAGGCTTTTGATTTTTTCCTTTTAACGTTTCTCAGCACGTCCTTGTTTATATGTCTCTTCAACGAGTCTACCATGAAATGTCGTTTGTAATAGTTTAGTCTATGCCCTTTCCCACTCAGAGAGATGCCTCATTAATAGAAAGGTAACCTTTGAAATAGGTGAGTAAGAGGCAATCAATTTCATGTCTTTCCTATTGACGTAAATGGCTATATTTATTGCAGGAAACAAATTCACTTAGACACTGCTGAATTATAATCAACCTGGTAGGACCCAGAGGTATTAAAACCTATTTTACTTTAGAAATTAAATCGTCAGATGCCAGGTATGCAAAGAGCGTGACATGAAACAGACATGAAATATTTTAGTTTGAGATTCCTCCTCTGAAGTGGTTTGTGAGTGATGTATCATGGTTTAATAAACACAAGGTAAACCAATGGCTGATAGAAAAGCACTTTCATGGTAATTAAGGAGTAATTACCCAAGTGTACACTGAAATTTTGTCCATTTTGAAAATGGGCAAAATACTTGATTTGCTCCCTTGCTTTAGTCTATGACTCTAGTGGTGCTAACAGATTTTTATATCACTTTTTACATTTATCTAAGCAAATGGAGACATATTTTTAAAATTTCTTTTTCTCATTTTCAAACCTTGAGGAGAGATTGCCTCAATTTGAAGTATCCTCTTCTAGTTAGCTTTGATGAAATGCTTTTCAGTTTAGGAAGCCTACCCATTTTGTATTGATTCATAGTATGGCTTTAAAATCACATGAAGATGACTTTGTTCATGTAACTTTCAATAACAAGCTGTTTCCTGTAAGTTGGTGTTTGGACCACAGTGACATCAGCCCATTTCTGGTTTGTTAGTTCAAACCCGGCTCTCTCAGGGGGGCAAGGATGCCCTAAAATGTTGCGTCTAGACAGGGTTGGGAGCTTTGAGTCACCTTTTTTTATTATGGGGGAAGGACAGACTAGAGTGAATGTGAGCTCCCCTGGGGCCACCATTTCCCAGGGGAGATTTGGTCAGCTCTAGGTTAACCCCAGGCTTCACAACTGTCTCTCAGTAGGTGAGCCTGATGCTCTTTCTGAGCATTTCAGTCCCTCCCAGAAGTGTATCCAGGGGTTTGGATAGTGGAGTAAATTTTCCTACTTGACACATACTAGGCACCCAGCTGTGCCCTGGAACTCTGCAGAAAATAGTCAAATGTCCAAACTCACATGCTAAACACTTGGCTACAAAAAAATCGTAAACTGTTAGTTTTCAGCTTTCTGGAGCTTCAGAAAAATAATTGAGAAGATTCAGCTGACTGAATCCAAAATAAAATAGATTTCTTTAACAAAATCAGGAACCCAAGTTTGCTTTTCCGATAAACCTCAAAAGGTTTATTCAGACATGGGAATCAGCTTCAGTTAACTAGTTCAATAGACTAGAGGAGGTCTTTTTCACCAGTGCCATTTTTTTTCTTTTAAAATTTTCCTTAAGGAAAAGATCCTTGTCTGGAATTTTGGGAGAGTTCTACACTTTATACAAACAACAAATTGGGCTCCATTGCTAGAGATCATGACCCCATCTTTGGCTCTTTGCTTTGCCAGAAAAGTGATGGGTGACAGAGCCTCTGGTGCAGCTGTCTCTCTGTTGCTTTTCTTTATCTCTTTAGGTGAAGAGTGTGACATTGACATCAATGAGTGTGACAGTAACCCCTGCCATCATGCCGGCACCTGCCTGGACCAACCCAATGGGTATACCTGCCACTGCCCACACGGCTGGGTGGGAGCGAACTGTGAAATCCGTAAGTATTTCTGCAGCTCAGCTGCTGTTATCTAACATCACATTTTCATTCAACAAGAAAAGGATGCTGACTGTGCCCAGCCAGCCGCACGTCACTCACAGATGAGGCAGTGAGGCCCCAGAGAGATAGCCTGCGTCACCTATGTCCCCCATGCCCCAGCTGAGTACTTTTGCTCACTGCATTGTGGCACTCCCACTCCTTCCTGAGTCGGAATCCAGCCTTTCCATCGGGATGAGAATGTGCCGATGTCATCCAGAGTTCACTGCTGCTAAGACAGCCAAAAATGTGCTTAACAGAGTAGCATTAGAATTACATCAAAAAATGGAGTCTTTGTGTTGAAAACTTAAAAAAACCACACAAAATGTAAATTCACTTTGCATTTATGTCTTCAAGTGCCTTCAAATGTGTTAGGTTCCATCAGATGCCTGGAGAAACGTCCAGTGAGGATGGGCGTAAAAGAAAAGCTGAAAAGCATTTCGAGCTGCTTAGAGCTAAGTGTTCTCCGAAGATGAACTAACAGAAGTTTGAAAATGTCACAAGCAAGATTTTATATATCAAAATAATATGTTTACTAGGATTGAGGGGAAGATGAGGACTGGCGTGGAATTGGGTTTTCCGTTGTTTTGTAAACTGCTAAAAATTCAGCCTTGAAAGGTGTTTTCTTCTCATTTAAATTAGTCAGGGCAGTTGGGCATCTTTCAAAAATGCTCCCTCCTGGACCCTCTCACCCCCTTCTCTACTCTCCATCAGGAAAAGACAGCTTATCTGCTGGGTGTGTGGAAGGAGGCAAATACGTATACATAGCCCTGTCTGTCTGTCTGTCTGTCTCCTTCCTGGGCTGCCTCTACTCCTCCATGCTGTGTGTGTCTCAAGAACAGGCCCCTCACTGGTGCTCCCCCACTGCCTATGGCTGCATGGGCTTGTCTAATTCTTAATATATGTCTGAGGTGGGGTGCGGCCAGTATTGGGGAACCTTCTTATCCACAAATATGGGCCACTTTCTCCAACATCAACTTGACCAGTAATGAAGGTGTTATTGGGCTCTCATCTGCTCACCCTTTGTCTTTGCTCTTGGCTCAGAGCTTGAGAGGGGAAGAGAGTAGTTATTTTTAGGCCTCCCCCTCAGCCTTCCCAAGTGCTCCTAAATAGAGTGGTCTTAGGACCAGCTGTCCTTGCTGAAGATGGGTGAGAAATACTCTTTTGCTGAAGAAAGAGACAGAAAGGGATGCCGATAGTACAAACGCTAAGGCTGTGATTTGGTGTAGGACGTCAAGTCTAGAATGGTGGGATCTGTTGGTGAGAGGGACCCCAGACCTGGGTCAGCACGACCTCAGTTCTTGCCCTGGCCTGCATCCTGTGGCTGCATTTAGATGTGCAGAGCTTCAATTTAATTATCCATAAAATGGGACCAGTTTTCATTTTAAAATTTGGTAATTCTGTGAAAAGACAAATTTTGTGCCTTGGGGCAGAGCAATATCTATTTATAACTTTTAAATCTTAATTGTGAAGATAAATATATAGGAGATTGTGGATAAGGAATCAGGAACACATAGGATGCCCTCAGGAAGTTTTGAAGTAGAATCCTTTGATTATAAAAAATCTAAATTTTACTTCCTTCTGGTGATGATAATAGAGGCAAAAGATGTACAACGATGGAATAATAACAAAGATAAAAATTGGCTTCAAATTCTGGCTACATCATATTCTGGCGATGTGACCTGGATTAACAAATTCACCTCTCAGAGCCTTGTATTTCTCACTTGTAAAAGGGTGATAGGAACATTGCTGTCAGATAAAAGAAGGCAAACGTGCAGATTTCTGCTATGCAGTAGGCACTAAGTAAATGCTAGCTGCCCTTTCTCTTTCTTTCTACTCTACTGTAGCTCTTATGCCATGAGCTACTCCTGGGGAGGATTAACCTTTGGCAGTTGTCTTTTTAGATGACGTGTGCCCAGGGCACAGGCCACTCTAAGTGGCTGGGTGCGATGCAGCCCACCACACATCTTGGTCCACACTTGGGCTCTGTTTGCCCAGACAAGCACTTTCCATTTGATGATCTCATTTGCGCCTTTCCTGTAGGCCAAAGGCATTAAAATAAATGTCATCACAGATTAGACTCTGCCAGGCTCAGTGTTGGATGTTTCTATTCTTGACCTGAATGTAAGCATGGAGAATATGCGTATGAGGTTTGCAATGACAAGTAGCTAGAGCCAGTGGCCAGTGTCTGGAGAATGGGGTCTGAATCAAATGGAATGGATCCAAGGCCCAGGAGCGGAAGCAGAGTCTGGCTGGTCAGTGGGCAGGGAAGATATAAGAGGCCTCCAGTCCTGTGTGAACTATGGGAGCCATGGCCTCTGAGGTCTCTTTCTAACTCTGCACGTCAGTGATCTTCTGAAGTGGCCAGAAACCAAGAGGTGGGTGCCTGCATAGTACAAGGTCAGGTCAGTAGATCTCAACGGGAAAGCTCAGATGTACACAGAGAAGAGGCAGAGCCGTGGGCCACGTAGCCACATAGCATTGGAGGGCTGCTGAGTTGTCAGTGGCACTAAAGGAGCCTCCCATCAGCCCGACCTCTGCCTCCGGAGGCCACATTGCCTGCCTCCCTATTTTGCTTGCTCTGCTTTAGCCACAGTGTCCTGCTTTCTCATCCTCCACCAGGTCGAGTTCATTCCTGCCTTCAGGGCCTTCGCCTGTCCTGTTCCCTATGGCTGGCGCTCTGTCCCCTCAGATTTCCGCACAGCTGTCTCCTTCTCAGCATTCAGGTCTCAGCTTGAATGTCACTGTCTCAGATGCCCTCCCTGACCACCTGTATTATTTTCCTATTGCGGCTGTAACACATTACCACAAATTTAATGACTTCAAACACGAATTTATCATCTTATGGTTCTGGAGGGCAGAAGTCCCAAATGGGTTCCACTGGGCTAAAAACAAGGGGCCAGCAGGCTGGCTTTCTTCTGGAGGCTGTAGAGGAGAACCTTCTTCATTGCCTTCGCCAGCTTCTAAAGGCTGCCCACATTCCTTGGTGTGTTGAGAAGCTGGAGCTGGTGTACCGAATTAAGAATATGCACGGGCCGGTCTGGTAGTGTAGTAGTTAAGTTCACGTGCTCTGCTTCGGCAGCCTGGGGTTCACAGGTTCAGATCCTGGGTGCAGACCTAGACACTGCTTGTCAAGCCATACTGTGGTGTCCCACATACAAAAAATAGAGGAAGACTGGCACAGATGTTAGCTCAGTGACAATCTTCCTCAAGCAAAAAGAGGAAGATTGGCAACACATGTTAGCTCAGGGCCAATCATCCTCACCAAAAAAAAAAAAAAAAAAGAATATGCAGATTATGTCCTGCTGAATGAGGAGGCGCACACCATCCACACAGAGTCAGCAGGGAGCTCCCTCAGCATCCAAGCTCCCATTTTCAGGAAGTGAAACCCATGGGGTCGTTTTGATTGAAGGCAAAGTTTCAATGCACCCACAAAAAGGAAACAGAGTCACAAGATTTATTACTTACAGATCCCAGAAGCGAGGGGCACAGTGAGCTGAGGGAAGGGCAGCCCTCTTCCCAGGTCACGAGTGAGTAGGAGATAGAAAGCAGGATAGCAAGCACCTATTACTTTAAGGTTGTTGGGGCAGAGGTCACTGACTTTTCGTGGGCCCAACTCTAAGTGGTTATTTTAAAAGATGCCCCAGGAAAAGTAAACCAGGAACTTATAACGAGAACCCTAAACTCAAGTCCTTATCTAAACGTCCCGACTCTGGGTGTGAGCAGGGTTATCCTACTGTAAAAATGCCTAGGCAGCAACTCAGGAAAACAAAAGCTGTTTTTCTCAAAAGTTGTTTTTTTCTCAAAAGTTGTTTTCTCATCCCACTTGGCTCAGGGCCCCTTCCTCCATCTTCAGAGCCAGCAGTCACATCTCTCTGACCTCTGCGTCCATTCTCACATCTCCTTCTCCAACTCTCTTGCCTCCTCCTTTCACTTAAAGGACTTTTATGATTACATTGGGCCCACCTGCATGACCCAGGATAATCGCTCCATCTCAAGATCATCAACTTAATACCTTTGCAAAGTCTCTTTTGCCGTGCAAGGTAACGTATTCATAGATTCTGGGGAATAGGGTGTATTCATCTTGGAGAGATCATTACTCAGCTGACCATAACACCCTATCAATAGTGTCTTATTGATCCCCCCATTTGTTCTTAAAATTTATAATATTTTGGGATGACTTAGAATTAATTTTTCCTGTTACAGCATCATCCTAATCATTATAGTGAGTATTTGCATAAACATGACTTAAACCAACTAAAGGTTCAGGATATGGTAACTAGAATGGGTGCTGCTCTCAGGAACAGGGACCTGGGTTCCAGGCCTCAGGCTCCTGCCTCCCGACCAACTGCAAGACAGGAAGAAGGCCACTTCATCTCTCTGGAGCTCAGTTTCTTCATTCGTGAAATGAGGGATTAAATGAAATAGTGTTCTTCCTTCCAGCTCTAGAATTATGGGATCCACACTCAAAGTAGTATCATACTCTGCTAGGAAGCACCAATTATAATAAAGCAGATACTTCTTATTGCCTTTTGTCTTACAAAGCACCACAGTGTGTCTCCTATTGCATGTGGAAGAGAGCCTCAGCATAAAATATATATGGGATCCTCACAGATGCACACTTAGAGTTCATGCACCTCCTGAAAACCCTCCCCAGTGAAGGGTGCTGCATGTGGAAATGAATCGACTTTTTCATCAACCGTCGCTAGCGGTTCTGAAAGTTCAGTGGGATTTACATGCAAATTAACACCATGTTAGTGGTTCCATGACAGCCTCCTATGCCCAGTGTTTACCCCAATAATGAATGTTTCTTAGAAATGTGTCCCTTTAGAGTTATTATCTGCCACCTCATCAGTAAAAAGAGGCAGAAATCCAGCAGACCACACAGGTTTCTCATAACCATCAAGAAAATTGATCCAGAACTATCCTAAAAGGATCATTTAGATAGTGATGGTGTTTCATAC